CACCAGATTTTTTATGGATTAAATCGAAAAAGATTTATCATTTTTTACATGATGAAAAACCTTTTCTTTTTTTTTCTTTTTACTTACGTAAGAGATTTCGGTTCATCAAAACATAATGAAGTAGCTTGTCAAAAATGTACAATAATAATAATAATATTCCACTCGATTATGCTTATAACGACTACTATTGGTTGTTATCGATCTCGTGTTCATATAAATGTGACTAAAGTACTAATTGTCTAGACAAATGTAAATAAATAACGTTAATTTAGGTGCAAAGGTCATTGATTGAATTGTACAGCATTTAAATTGAATTACATTACGTAAAATATATGAACACAAAAATCACTCGTAAATCTAAAAAAAGTAAATATGAGGAACAAAGTTTTTTCTCATAAAATTTACGTTTCTACACTTACTGTCTTATGTAGTAAGTCCCAGCGTATAGATAGTTGTTTATTTTGCGTTTATACTTACATTATGCATCGATTTTTACATAATTATAACAATGAAAACCAAAAGATTGTAAGACAGTACCAAATTTAATTTTTTCTATATTTATTTGTTCATGTATATGACATTTCAAAAACAAAATCAATAAGTTCTCACTTACTAAGACCTAAAAACAATTATTCAAAATATCAGTAAACATCGTCAATATTTGGTAAAATAGCTGATAATTGCTACTGAAATTTTAATGGTTAAATTGAGCAAAATTAAATAAGTTAATGATTGGCCTAAGTTGGAATACTTTCAGTTTAAGCGCATTTCCGCCACTGGATTACATACCGTGCGTCGTAATATAATAAATGAAAATCTGAACGGATAGAAAAATTATGTTACTTACGTAAAAATAATTCTAATTATTTGCCTTGTATGATTTGCAGCTACGTCATTGTTCCACCGGATTTGCTATATATGCTTGACTTGATTTTAAATTACCTTTAGATAATATATAGATTTAATATATATAGATTTAAATGAAACATAATAACTATTTACAGTCGTAATTAAAGCATAGAAGTAAACAAAAAATTTGTATTTTTATAAATTGGCTATATATTTTAAAATTGTATTGCTTTATTTTTTCACCCTGTCTCATTTTAACATGTTAAAAAAAAGTTATGTATGCAAATACCTCTTTAGCCTTTTTATCGCACGTTTGATAATTTCTTTTACTAAATTAAATGGGGACTCTATACCCAAACATCTGTATTCTTTAATTTAATTTTTTCTCGAGTGTCGTTTCATTGGTTTATTGATGCAATGTTTGTACCTTATTCATAACATAAATTCTCAGTGTTTTTTTTGTTATCTTTAAGAGCCACTCGTCTCCTACCACTATGATAACTGTTTTTAAAACGTTGGTGCACGTGAAAAAAAAACCTCAGCACAACACTCGTGAAGGATTTGAGGGAAAAAAAATGACTGATACACCATATCTCTGATGGAAATTCAACAAGCAGTCGGGAGATAGAGAAAGGATTAGTACCCAGTACTCGAGAGAAGATTATGTTTTATATTAAGAGTTCAATATTTTACGTTTTACAATGAGGTGACATCCCATTGGACTGCATTCTTTTAAAACTATGTAATACCAAAGCTTAGCTAATTAGTTAACTTTTCATGTTATTATTGTTCATTAAATATGCAAATTTGATTGCCTAAAATACAAGAAAAGTATAGTAATAACTGATTACTAATCAGTTTAAAAAACAAATTAAAAATAAGGTAATACAAACGGTGGTTTTTAATATATATATATTTTTAAACACCCCATTTCTATGGGCCTCTCGTTATAGATTTCAGAGATATGCAGCGATTATTTCAAAGTTGTAAAATAAAATAAAATAAAAAAAATCTTCCATTGAAGAAACAAACACAAAGATAGAATGCAATCGATTTGTGAATCAATACTGTAAAACTGAATTTTTTTTTTTTGTTTCGGTATCCAGGTGAATTATATATTTTTTGGTAGCGTTTTTCATGTTAATTCTTTGCCGTAATAATACTGAAATTGTGAAAGCCAAATAATACTTTTTTTTCACTTCAAAACGCCGTGTTTTCTGAGAAAAAAGACCTTCTAGTTGGTATTAACTAATCTTTACCATCGATTCTGTGCGTTCTGATACTGGTGGGGAAACGATTACGACAAACGGGGCTTGTGGTCCATAGCACCGACGGCTATCTTAAGGTTGTCTTCGCGTACTGTCCAGAGTGGGAATGTCGGGGATTGGTTGGCCAAGCCCCCAAGTGTATGATTAACTAAAGTTGAGATACAAAATAATTACGAGTTCGCGTCCCGGTGCCAGGAGGGGGCGACTTTTAAACTCTGTCATTAATCCCCCGTCCTATACCCAAGCCCGGAAAAATCCTGGTATAGTCTAAATGGCAAGAAAGGGGTTGGACACACATATACTAAAAAAGTGAGAATGCCAAAATTCATTTCCCGGGGCCGACGAGAAATAAATATTAAACAACCCACCCCCCATCTGGAAATCCTCTGAGACCCATACCCTGACGCGCTTTTTATTATGTTTTATTCAATTAATAATTATTATTCAACATAATTATTTAGAAACGAACAAATATAATATAGAATATTTGAAATGAATTTGTTTATATGTTTGAATAGTTGTAAGGATTTTTATTTTACTTATTACATATACTTGAAAATATCTTTAAAAAAATATAATTGAATAAATAACATATTTGTTTAAATTAAATACAGAGAGGAGAGGCAGCCTTCATAACATTGGTACTATTCTAAAACCTTTTCAGTTAAAAATGAATCATGTAAAAAAGTGAAAAATATCTTTGTTATCTTAGTTTGTTCAACCTCAAATAAAAATACGTTTTTCACAGTCTGACTTTGTTTATGACGGAAAATATGATAAGAATATTAGGTGAAAATTGAAGGATGATTGAATAATAAAATCAACATAATAATAGTAATAATAATATTATATCATATGTATACATAATAATATATCATAATATTATCTTTGAATATATATGAAAATTTAAATAATAGTAACATACAGGTATCAAAAAAATAGTTACATAACTACTACTTAGTATGAGTGACTAGATTTAACCCATATTCTTTATTTAGTTAACCCATATACATAGTCTAGCCAAGTAATCGACTTTTCTTAATTGATTTTGGTTTTCACACTTTATTGATTTATGCAGCTTATTTATTATTGATTTTAATTTTTTTGCCTCAAGTTATTGGAGAGGAGGGGGCGAAGATATTCTCGCTCCCTCAACATTTATATGGAGGGGGGGATCGATCCTCCCCCGAAGTCTTTGCCTATGCCTACAGCTGTTCCTGAGTAGAGTTTTATTTGTTAATTTCAAACTGGTGCATACAAACTTATAAAAATATGTACTTTTGTAATTATAAAATAATTTAGAAAAAAACCCGTATGAAGGAAAATAATATTTTTAAAAATTAATTCTGGCTCATTACAACCCAGAAAAACAACTAGCGTAGCTACAAATGAAGATTGTTTTTTTGTAAGCTATCATATTTTCATTCCATTACAAGAACTGTTTTGATATGAGGCTTTAATCATCACTGTTGTATTCTGTTTAAAAATTATACACACTCGCATAAAATTATTTCCTCAAATTATTATTTCCACATCAACCACAATGGATTCAAAAGTAGCCTTTTCTTTCTAATGTAGGGAGCTCATGTAGCAATGGTTGTCCTGGTTGTCCTGATCAGAACAAATCGACGATTTATATATAGAGAGTGGATTTTTGTTCAGTAACATCTAATAAATACTTCAACACCATAATAAAGTACTAAAGCTTAATACTTTTTATTAATATCATCAATGAAAAATATAACACCTGAAATCTAATAACTTCTAATTCAAATGAACTATATAAAATTAGAAAAAAAAACTGTTTTAACACTCTGTTTAAATTCAGTTTTTTTCAATTCTTTAAAAATATGAATTTGATTTATTTTTGTTATAAAGGGAGCATCTTCTTCCTAACTTTCCATTAATTCTGTAAATTTATTAAAATTTGCTGAATAAAAAGAGCTGCCTCCACTCTGATACTCCAATAAGTTCTTACACCTTCAGGAGAGAAGTAAACGAAAATGTGTTACTTGTTTTTTCATTACCACACCTTAACAGACTTTCATAAATACTTTTTCATCATAACCATCTTTTGCATATATTTTAGGAAACTATATTAGACCATGTTATATACATTGTATTATAATAAGTTACTTTAAGAGCATTCTCAGATTTCAGCATGAAAGACATTCCACAGGTCACTATTATCAAGTAACATTTTGTCTCATACCAAAACATAATAATGTTTTGGCCAAAAAATTATGGCAATTAACCAGCCAATCTAGAAATAATTGAGCTGGTGTGATAAGTACGACTTTGTGAACTAACTCAAAAATGTGCAGCTTCTTGCAAACTAAAACTAGTGTCAATAGAATGTACTCTTCATCATTCAAATTGCTGTTGTTAAGCTGAATTTGAAGAAAGAAAAAAAAAATACACACACAAAAATCTACCTATTACAAGAAAATATGTTATTTTTTTTAAAAATATTACTATTATTTAACTTTTCTTGTTATTGATTAAGTCCCATCAATAACAATTAAAATTGATAATTAATATTTATTTTATAATTTTAGATTAATATAAATAATTAATCTATTTTATATTTCTTATAAATAATTAATTTATTTTATATTTCTTATAAAAATTAAATATAAAAAATTATATAAAATAATTAATTTATTTTTTATTTCATATTATATGAAAATGAAAATGAAAATGGATAAAAATTATATATATAAAAAAAGTTTATTAAAACTATATTTTTATCAAAACAAACTATAAATATTTCATGTTACTTCAAACAATTTATTTTATCACAAATTTCATAATAAGGAACATTATATATTTCTTTTATAATGTTCTTCTTTCTTAATCATTATATAGAAAACATACATGGATTAGAAAATAAATATAAAACAATTTGTTAACCTAATAATTCTTATGTCTTAATAAGTACATTTAATCAATTTTTATTAAAATATCAATCATTATTCTAGATGTTTATTAATTTAAAAATAAGGAGAGAAGTAGAAATACATACACTATTCTGACTCAGATTATTGAATATACCAATGGCTCTAATAATTAAAATTAGTTTTAATCATGGTAATAAATTCCTCAGTCTTGAGATATAAAAAAAAAAAGTGGTTCAAGAAACTCTGTATTGTTTAAAAAGTATAATTCTGCATCTCTGAAACCAAACTCTGTAAAATTAATAGTTATCACTAACTCAATCAATTAACCTTTCAGTATGGTAGCCAATCTCATTCATCCAGCCTAACATAATTTCTGTTAGTTCACTTTAGTAGGTTTCTCGCAAAATATCTTTATTTCTTAACACAAGGTATCAACAGAAAAAATGCAACCGAATATTATACATCTTTAAATCCAAAATAAATTTTGTACATTTGTGATATTTTAATTTAGTTATATAAATATTTTTAAAATAACTTTGAAGCCCCTAATGAGATTAAACATAATTTTATTAAATAAACTTATTATCTAATCACAGGAATATTTTGACAAAAGCTAATTAAAATAAAAAAAACTCTGTGAGGACAAAGTTGGATAAATCTCACTCTGCGATATAAAATTTGACATTCATTCCTAATAACTGGAAGATAATAATAGGAAAACCATTCAGCTAAGACTATGACATACTTGAGGTATGATTGGAACTGCTTAAGAATGCAAGAAGAGATAAAATGCATGATAAAAATACTGAATTAGTAATAAATGTTAATGTTTAATTTTGGATGAATTTTATGAATAATATTTTTTTTTAAATTTATTATAATTTATAAAATTAACTTTCAGATAATAAAAAACAATTTAATAATAATTGCATAGCTTCCTCACTCCTCAACATAATTTATTTACAGGGCAATGTTATGGAGTTTATATGTTCAAAAATGTCTTTATATTAAATTTTTAATGCTAATATTAAAAGGTTTTATTATTTTTAATTACCTTCTACTAATAATATGAATATATATTTTTTTATTTGTTTTGTAACTGTTGTATGGATATTTTTGATCCTAACTGAATGTAATAAAAATTTAATACAAATGAGTCAAAAAACATTTTTTTTAATGCTCAACATTTGTCAAAATCTCTCAGATCATTGTGTGTATATATCTTTCATTTTACATTGCCTATCCTGCAAGATTTTTAATATCTTGTCTCAAACCATTTAAAGTTGAACAATTATGCGGTCTTTAAAAAGTTGTATAGGTCTACTTTAACATAAATATACAATATTTTACTTAACGACTATGATTTAAAAGTATGATAACCTATGTTAAAATAGTGAAAATTCATCTATATTTAATCTTTTATAATTTTCTGTTATTAATAAATAACTAACAGTAGTAATAAATACAATTTTAGTTTTCATGTTTTTTAACATATGTATGTTCCTAACAAATTGTGAAATAACCAACAATTAATTTTGCAAAATGATCTTGTGTACACAACACCTTTCTTAAAATAAAAACTGTCTCAAACATAGTTGGATAGAATGTCCATATTTAAAATACCTTTTTTAATTAATCTAAACTGTTGTGAATCCTGATAAATAATCCTAATTTAATAATCTTATAAATAACTAAATACTCATAGAATTAGATCTTAATAGACTTATTTGTAGGTAAAAGAACAATTTATATCATATTTAAAGTAATTTACCAAAAATAAGTCAAACTATTCAAACTGTATACTATTTACAATAGCTTATAATTATATTTACAATATTATTTCTTTCTTTTCTTAATTCAATTTGATTTCTTTATTTAACTTACATTAATATTAACAAGACTAGGCTTAAAGATTCCACATTATAGCGGTCAGAAATTTATCACCTAGATATTACAGTCATTACCTCATCCAAAAAAGCATTATATATATATATTTATATACACATATACACCTTAGTATACATATACCTTAGCATTTCATGCAGGACTAGATTATTATATTTTTGTCTGTTCTATAACAGTTTCCTTCTTTTCTTCTTTTACTGTTTTAGATCGATCAACATAAGTGTATTGGGAAGCAAGAAAAATGAAAAAAACCATTACTACTGACATTAATCCAGAAAAGAGGAACATCTCATAAGCCTGAAAATTTCAAACAGAATATTAGTAGAAATAAAATTTTTACTATATTTAATAGTTTCTTTTTTGTTCTATTACTCTAATATACTATAATTAAATAAAGAAACTCTGATATATTAATTATAGTAAAACAGACACAGTAAAAAGAATTTTGAGCTGGGTAACCCACTATGTTTGCAAAGCTATGGTGCTCATGGATACGCTCTGCACTCCAAGCGTGTAGCATGTCCACGAACATATAGAGCACTCCAAAGGCTGTCAATTTTTACCCAAAATCAAAGGGGAGCGGAGGAAGTTTGTGGACAGGCTACGTCAGTTGTGATCACTTGTCTGTAACATTGCTGTAATCAACACTGTGGCTTTAAGTCAGACATTGCGCAATGGAGTGGACGGACGAAAAATGTCTTTCGCTATTTGATCTCTATAAAAAATATACTATATTGTGGAATCCTAGAGATTCAAATTATATAGAATTATATAAATAAATAATAAATAAAATTTTAAAAAATCAAAGATGCATGGTAGGACATTGGGAGTGCTATGCATTTACCTGCTAAAGTTTATAAAAATATAATGACAGTTCTTCTATGCAGATATCGAAGATAGAAAATAAAAACCAAGAAGAATATAAAAGAGTAATTATTAGTAATTACTCTTATTATTTATAATTATTACTATTAGTTCTTATTAGTAATAATTATTAATAACAAAAATATTCATTTCTATGTTTTGTATAACACCTAATTCAAAATATTTGTAGATGTTGATACGTGTTAAAATTTATTGTCATAAATTTATTGTTCATGAATTAATAATATAAATCATATTAATATAAATAAATTACATCAATACTAATTAATTATATTAATAATTTAATTGTTCGCCATCAATTAATTTAATTTATTGACATTTGTTGACCTTAAAAAAAAAAAAAAAAAAAAAAAGTAAAAACGACTTGTTCCTTCAGGGAACATGTGAACACTGCAGAGCACTAGTGGAGCGGCCGTATTCGCCAAGGTAGTCTCCATCTACAGTGTTGCAGTGGCACAGAGCACTGTAGATTAGCAAACATAGTGAATACCTGGCTGGAGTAATAGAAATTAATTTATTTCAACACATAAAAAAAATCTAGTACATCATGCAACTATCACTTAAAGCCCTACTTCGAGTAAAGTTAAGTATTTTCACACAATTGACTGTAATCACATATATGGAAATGAAAGAAAAAATTATAGATGATATAAAATATTCATTAAAAACAATTAATCACAATGTTTTCCCACTAATTGAATCTGTTAAACATCTCTTTCCATTTTTATTTACGAATACATATATTATTAAATAATACCAATGATGGTGTGGAAAAGTGGATCTTTTGGAACAATTGTTAGCTTTATTTTAAAATTTTAGCGAAACAGTTACTGCAGAACTGGTAGAAACAAGGTGTTAATATTAGTATATATTGTACATTATTAGATAATTATAAGTAGATCCTCAACATTTCACATCAAAGTCTTTTAGGAAAATTATTGGTAAGTGAAATATAATAGTTAAGCTAACAATATGAATGTCCTGTACAGAGGTATTTTGTAAATTAAGGGGGATCAATAAAGGTCAGACACTATCGCCTACTTCAGTAGGTTCTAGTTCCCTTCTTAACCCATATTTAATTCAATTTTTTTATTGTTTAAATTTAATTTTTTTTATTACTGATTACAATGTGAAATAGTTTATTTTTACAAATAAACAAAATTAAAGGGACTTTAGAGGAAGAAATTTTGATAATGCGGCATTTAAGTTCTGTCAAACTATTTCAATGGGGATAATACCTTCCTTCTATTAAAAACCATTTGATATTACATAGATACAATGATTTAAATCAAAATCATTAGAGCTAATTTTGAAAAGATTGTAAAAATGTGTAAGTTCAATGATATAAAGCACCATTTCCGGTTAGTTAATTTTGATAAAAAAAGTTGCGATAACATATCACACACAAATACACGCATGCATCCACAAACACATACACAATTTTATAAAACTTGGTTATTTGGACTCAGACAACCTCAAAGTGTGAATTATCATTGAAAACTTGGATTCAAAAATCTATACTATACATTTCATTTATTGGTTAGTGAAAGTAACAACAATCAACAAAGACAGTAGAGGATTTAGGATTTAATTTTGGGCGCAGTTTTTTTTCTACTCTCTATCCTACTGAAAACAGATGTTTTTCTAATTTTACATGTTAGACTTCTATTCTAAGCTGATTTCTGGTTACCATAATCATTGAGACTAGAATGCTAAATAACCTGTAATTCCATGTGGCTTGTACTATTCATTCCCTTTTAATCATACTCCCTAATGTTAATGATTCTTATGAGCATTATAGAAGTAGGCTCTTTAATTGTAGATCAAATTATGACTGGTATTGAAAAAATAAATTTATTGCAAAATGAAAATTCATGAAAAAAATTATTGTTATCTTTTATATATATAAAAATGAATGTATGTCTGTCTGTCCATCTGTTTGTCCTTGGTGCATTACTAAACCATTCATCCGATCGCCATGAAACTTTGGGAAGTTGTTCCGTACACTCCTCGGAAGGTTTCTGGCATATTACTTCTGTCTTACAATAATTTTATATATGTAAAAAAAATAAAATGTTTTAAAATGTTTTAAATGTTTTTCTGTTCAAAGCCGCAAAAAAATGTGTCGCTATAAGCTGTAGCGCCAAAATGGCTTTACCGATTTTAACGAAACTTAGGTAAAGTCTTCCCCTTGAAACCCTTTTCATTTATGTGTAAAACATACTTTCCTGAAAACAAGCTGAAAAATTTTATGATGAATTCAATATTCAATATAACTAAAAAAGTACAGAATTTTTGACTGATAATACACACATTTATTTCAAAGATTCCTGATTTGCCGACAAAATGGAAAAGATGTCATCAAAATAGATAAGCATTATCCTCGAAATAAAACAATTTCTAGTGGCCGTAGGAGTAAAGTGGGTTAAATTATTTTTTTAAGGAAAAACAAAGGTGAGATTTGTATTTTGCACCTCGATAAACCCTCAATAATCAATAATACCCACATTTATTTCAAAGATTCCTGATTTGCCGACAAAATAAAAAAAACCCATCGAAATCGGACGGTTCGTTGCAGAGTTATAGAGTTTTAAACATTTACTGCTTGCTCTTCAGAAAAGGCCATTTGCTTTTGCTTGTTCACTACCGATGGTAGACAAGCATTTTTTTTTTTTTTTTTTTTATTGAGTAATCGAAAATTTTATAATTACTACAGTATGAAATTATCATTTGAAGGAGTTATATGATTCTCCTTATGTAGGTCAATATTATTATACATTCTTTATATTAATTTTTTATTTTAGTTTTATAAGTTCAACTCAGACTGTTTCTGATGATTATGAATGTTCAATTTGAATCATGAGAAAAAAAATCATTAGAATTAGTTTAAATTGAAGCCATTTTACAGACAAATTTGTTTCTCAACTTTTTAAAAATGACAGATGTCCTTTGCTATTAATCTACTCATATGTGCTTTCTATTTTCTTTCTTTTTCATTTTGATAGGCTAAGCCACAGCAGCGCGTGGCCAGGTATCTTATAAAATACAATATACCTAATATGCAATTTTTCAAAAATGTTGGTTCCTTATTGCATATTTGGGTTCAAACAACTTTATGTTTATATAAAGTTAAAAAAAATTTAAATGCTTACCGCATTAGCCATTTTAAATCCAGCAATAATCAAAACAATGATGTTTCCAAATGAATCAGTTAATAACCAAAGAGACATTATGACAGATTTCATGCTATCAGGACTCTGAAAAAAATATATATATATTAGTAAATTATGTATTGTAATTTTTCAGAATTTGCATGCCTCATTTGTCAATTTCAAAGCAGTCTATGATTCTGAGGAGAGAAACTGGTTTTGGAAGATCATGACAGATCTGGGAGTTCCCGGAAATTGGTGGGAGTAATAAAAGCACATATAAATGAAACTGAAAGTCGAGTCCTGATGTGACTGGTCAATCAATATCTCATGATATGCAGACTAGGAAGGGAAGATGGATGGGACATATAGCTAATCCATTGAGAACCCTCAACACAATAATTGGTGCCTCAACAGTTGGCAACAATCCACGTGAGAGGCCAAAACCAAGATGGATAGATTGAATCAATAAAGACAATGTCGTATTCACTATGGCAGACACCCAATAATTAGTCTAAAACCAAGATGTTGCTCTAGATGTTATAAACCTAGATTATTATAACATGAATTAGAAACTGACGATGGAGCACATTAATTTTAAGCCTTGTATCCACAAGATCATTGGGATTGTGATTCTGAAGATGGGAGTAAATATCCCGAAACGTAAACTTGTAAACATGCAATTTTGATATACAACAATTATATTCAATTGTTGCTAATTGGAAGTAATCATTGCCAAATAACTAAGAATATGATACAACTTCCCAGAAAAAAGAAAAAAGAAGATAATGCCGAACTGTATGCAGAAAACTGAAAAACAATAGTCTTATTTAGGTAAAGCTGAGGTGGAGTGGGGGGAGGGAGGAAGGGGTGGGGTGGCCGAGTGAGCTAATGCATGTGCACAGCATCGCGAGTTGCTTAACAACCTGATAACTGAAGTTGGAGATGGAAAAATAATTATGAATTCAAATCCTGGTGCCCAGTGGGACTTTTAACTCGGTATCAATCTCTGCCCTCTCCCCCGGACCAGGAAAAACCCCGTGTAACCTAAAAGGCAAGTAAGGGGAGAATAAAAAAAAGGTTCAGCTGAGGTTGGAGGTGGGGTGGCCGAACAGGCTAGCTCTTATGAAAAGTATGCAAAAGACCCGCAACCAACCACATGATTAACTAAAGTTATGAGATACAAAATAATTACGGTGCCAGGGAAGGCTTTTAAACTCTAGCATTAATCCTCTGCCCTCTCCTATGGGCCAAGGAAATTCCCAAATAGCCTAAAGGTGGGGTGGAAGAAACAAAGGTACAGCTGAGGAAGGCTGGTTCGGGGAGCCAAAGATATACAAGGTCAGTAAAGCCAACAGAAAAAAAAATAGCTTAATTTCAATATCATATATAAAGGGAGAAAATTACATAAATCTTACTATAAAGCAATAGTGTCTTTATTCGTCAAGGAAGAATAGTCTGATCTTTTTATAAAAACAAAATTGTGTTATCCATTGCTGGCCTTATGCAATCTGAGCAGTATGCCTGCTACTTATGGGCAATTAAAAAAAATATAGCAACCAAATAATACAATCTATTTTAGCATTCTAATAATGCAACTGAATTAGATATATATTTAATGAAATAAAGATAATATTAAAAGGCTCAAAAACATTTGCTCCAAAAGAGGACATTTTAAAATTTATTTAGTTAGTTTTAAGTAGATGGTGTCCTTTTTTTTTCGAAATAAATTACTTTGAAATTCTTGAAATACTTACAAACAACCTGTCCTGGTTAATCAGTTTTTTAGAAATTTGTAAAATGTTAAGTGTTGTTTAATTTTTTTTTTTTTTTTTTTTGCTAGCAGAGAAAGGAGAAGAGAGATCTTGCACCCTTCTTGATATCCCCATAAATATACAATTTCCTTCATATGTGCTTAATTTTCATCTAATAAATTACTTAATGTATGTCCAAGACCAACATTGGTCACATCGACTCCAGAAATATCCATTATAGAATAGAATAACAGTACCATTATAAAATTAAGCGTTCAAGAAATATAATTTAAATTTTTTGTGTAAAGGAACATGATACTGATGGCCTCAATTTTTCAAACACAGGATTTATGTATAAATTACAAAAATATTACAAATTAAATAACAAAAAAAAAAAGTTATAAGCTGTTGATGATAGAAAACATTATAGATCTGAATAACAATTCCAACTGAAAATTTTATATTTTTAACAGATTAACATTATTACCTCACTATAAGAAAACTCAAGGCCTGTGATGGAAAACATTATCTCAGCAGATGTTATGACCACATATTGAGGAACTTGCCATAACATGCTCATTCCATTTGGTTGTACTACTGTCAACAGCTTGCTAGTCTGAAAATATTTTTAAAATAAAATAAAAGTAACTACATTTCAACAAAATTTAAAATGTATCCAATTGTTCTTTCTATGTATATTGATATAAGACAATTTAATTATAACAATCAAATCTAAGTTAAAACAAAAAATTAGGTTTTTTATATTTAACAATTAAAATAAAAGTAAATGAAAATGATTCCTCAAAGCATTTCTAAGGGATGCCAAATTTGAAAGATGAGATATGTCAAAACAAATAGGGAAAAAAACTACAATAAAATGTGGATACATAAGATACCATTCTACAAATTTCTAACTGTTCCATTTATTTTTTTTGTATGTTTAAATTCATCTGAAAGTTTCATTTCATGTTTTCTTTAACACTAATGAATATAAGTCAATGAAAACTAATAATAAGAACATTTCTGATACAACAGAAATATTAAGAGAAAAAAATTAAATTTTCACTATAACATTTCAAAGATTCAGAAATGGAATTTTCTCAGCCAGATTCATTGATGTTTTTGATTTGATAGTTTTGAATTTGAAATAGTTAAACAAGTAATTTAATATAGCTTCCCCACCATTTTTATTAGGTATTTAAAATTTAAGTTAACTTAAGTATAGTTCAAAGTTTGTCTCTACGCTTTATTTTTTATTTTTTCCATCAGGCTGCAACTCATTGAGTGTCAAGACTTACCGTAATGGAAGCCACTAGTCTTTCCTATTTTGTGCACCTGCTCTCTAATCCCTAATCTCTAACACATTTAGTGTGTGGCATAAGTTGCCACACAATCCACCCAAAACAGGTGAAAGTCTTCCAATTTTCCAGTGCTCGAAAATTCTTTCCTGCAGGATCATTTTGGGAACTTCATCATTACTGTCATGCAATATATCCATCCCATCCGAGATATCCAATATTTATTATATGTACATCAATGACATCATAAAGATTTGTAAGCTCGTCATTTTTTTTAAACCTCTAAACACCATTGTTACACACAGGACCCACAATTCTCAAAATCGTTCTTTCAAATATCAATAGATAATATCAAAGAATTGAATGAAAATGTGAGAACATGCTTGATTAGTGTCTTATTTACTCGAATATTGATTGTTCCAGTGAGAAACTGGCTTCTTCAATGCTTCTCAAGGCCATAACGGCACCTATGACCATCTATTTGCTCCTATAATTCAATGATGAATTTCTGATTGTATATTATTTGCAGTATGCGATCAAATTATCTTGTGAATTAATTTTCTAAAATGTTACTGATGACTTTTTATAATTAACCGACTTCATTACCAGTTACTATAGATAAATGTAACCGGTTTTAAACATTAAAAGCACTATACATTTTATCTATGTATACCTAGACAATAGCCAATAAATAAATTAGTGCAATATATTTGAGTCATAACAACTATCAAATTATACGTACCATATTGTTTAAATTTCCATCCAACATTAAAACATAAATTCCACCTTGTTTTAAGGTAATGTCTGTTATAAGCTTGTCATTAACTGCAATGAAATACCTGTAACATATTTAAAGAATAAATAGCAAATGTTTTGAATGACCTACTTGTATGTGTGAGGCAAATATTAACTTTATATGGATGTTAGAAGTTAAAGTATTGTAAAGATCACTTCTAACTTAATAGTTAAAAAACCAACAGGATATTCAGAAGAAAGGAAATAACCCACTGTCAATTCAAACATGGTTATTTTTATTCCTACCTATGATATTCACCTAAAGAAATAGATAGTTTTCTACAGTCGCTATAAGAGTTTGTTGTTCACCATTTAAGAGTATGTTCACCATTTTCTAAAAACATACCAGAAAACATAAAATAATCACCCAAAACTCTTATAGCCATTAAGTCATATGAGCCTTTCAGTTGACAGAATGAATAACTCCAATTTCGAAATTTTTGAGTGAAGTCATTTTAGTGATATTTCTAGTTGGAAAATTATATCTTTACAGTGAGTAAGTTGATTACAGATTAGGTGATTGCAGTGTTGAAATATAAAACTGTGAATAAAGGTATACATTTTCCCACAAGTAATATCACTAAAATTAATAATCAAAAATATTGAAATTGGAGTTAGTCATTCTGTCAACTGAAAGGCTCATGCATGATTACGGATCATATATACCACATATACCATTCATACGCCCATAAGCAACATTCTTTTATTGAAGATTTTAATTTTTAGAAGCAAACACAAATAAATTTACTGCAGACATGTTGATTTTAAATTCATTGCTTTAAACATGATCTTTTGTCGTCAAGGTTAAAAATACTTCACCCACACATAGGGGTGTTAGCTGATAGTGAATATCTCAAGAGAAATAAAAATGTGGCCAAAATTTTGCATCAAGCTCTGGCGGTGAAGCTCAACTTATTAGACAATAAAACCTCATGATGTGGGAGAAAAATGCAGGAAATACCAGGAGCTGAATAGAATTGAAGAAACTATATGATTTGGAAAGATTTCTCTGTTAGCGACTGTAGAAAACTATCCGTACCACAAAGATTTTGTGTACAGGTCCAGCCTCGTTAGGTCCAACCCACTTCAGTTTAATAAGAAGAGGAGGAACTAATGGACCATTGTTTTGAAAAGTCTGTGATTCAAGAACAGCAAGAGATCCAGAACAGTTGATCAAGCTTTACTTGCAGTAATGAGATGTTATACAGACATGCCTAACAACTTTCTGCTGCGAACACCAGTCTTGCCTAAAAGGCATGGCAGAGTTAAAAATAAATAAACATTTGGAAAGTTTCACCACTACTCCAATTATAATATCCACCAATGAGCTGATGCCAAACAGTGGCAGACACGGATGGTTTAAAATTAATAGTTTGTGGTACAGACTCCGTTTTATCGAATCATAAACATCCGCCTGTTGTCAAAATAACTAGGAAAAATGGCCAAATATATAGGACAAATGGTCCAATATTTTTATAGGCCACCTTTTTTATCGATTGTGTGATCAAACTATCTTACCTAGTACCTAGTTTTTAATACCTAATTAAATAGACAAAGTTTGTTCCCCTCCAGATTGAAAACGCCCTTCATACTAATCTTCATTTCCTCTTCAATATCGTTTTTGTAGTTATTGTAGACCCTAAATACCTAAACTTCACTATGTGTTCAAACATATACCCTTCTATATCGATATCACCGAAAATTTTGTTTCAGCATAACTCAAAAGTCTAAATTTTATGTCAAATTAAATTTAAAATCAATATAAAGTAATTATACAATATCCTCATCAAAATTCAACTCCTGTGTATGATATAATAAAAAACATATTCATGTTTTTAAAATACTTTGCTCATATTTTCCTGGAAACTTGTTAAAAATTTTTACTAAAATTGGGTAAGAAAAAGTATCGTAACTGGATACAATTTTTGGGATGGTTAAGATTAGTCCACTTTTAACTAATTCTTATTACTTTCTTACCTTCTGGTTTAAAAAAAGTATTGTCATAATCAGATCAAATTTTTAATGTACATTTCTGAATGAATTTTTGCATTTCAGAGCTTTCTGAGTAAAAAATCCAACACATTTTGGTCATAAGGAAAGTATTGGAATTAGATCAAATTTTATAAACATTTATATTAATTTAAATTTATCTGAAATAGTTAGGAAAGTCATGTCAGGAGACACATCAGATATTTGTATTATTATTATTTTTTTAAATATTTATTTTATATTTAATCTGGACATAATAGTATATTTGGTACACCAGTTTGGTTAGTTCACAAATGGCTAAAAAAAAACCAATTTTTTCAGATATTCTAAAATAAATGTAGTACTGAATAAATTATTTGAAATGAATTAATTAATTTAATTTTTTTTAAAATACCATAAATAAAATGAAGATGCGATTTTTGCTAAAGTGGATGCCGATCAATGAGGAACTGAAAAATTTTTATCCAAAAGAATTGGTAATATTTAAAATTTTACCCAAATAATTCATAACCACATGCAATGCTCCAGGATGATTTCATGAAGGTTTTAAATAGTAGAAGAGTCTACTTCTTAAATTAGCTGTATTCATGTAAAACAGTGTTATACAAATTGTGATTTAACTGCTTGCTTTAAGAAATTATGAGGTCTTACCTTCCAAATAGAGGCATGACAATCTGCTGAGACTGATGAGATCCATATTCTACAGTAAAATTTCTCGTATTATCGGTAGTTTTTGCTAATATTGATAATTGGTCAACGCCACTATAAAGAATCCTAAAAAAAAAATATTTATTTATTATTTAAAAAAATGATATTTGTTGAAGTATGCATACTAAATAATATAATTATTTCTTATAAATAAGCATTTTATATCACCAGCATGAGGATAATGCATATTTTGCAATTAGACATGAATAAAGCAGACATCAATTGTGAATGAAATAAGAGGAAAGAAAGGAAAACAAGTTTAAACATTATTAAGAAACATTTTTCCTCCAGGAATACAGATAATATCCAAGATTTGATGGTCGTAGAAGACCTAGGAGTCAGAGAAAACCAGGTGGAGGATAGTGATGGTGCTGTAATTGAGGAAGTTTCTATTGGCCATGAAGAAATTAAAACTTGGCAAAGCAACATGCAGGGGTAATGTTGCTTAAAATAAGTTCACCAAATGAGTTCATAAAATTGAATGAGGAAAAAATGGTAGTGTGTCACTAAAGTCAATTTCAAATGATCTGGTTGTATGATATAATAATCACTATTTTTTAAGATGGGTAACCAAGTAAAATGAGAGAATTTTAACTAATATGTCTATTCTCTGTAGAATACAAATTATACATAGGAGTCCTGGAGCAAAAGTGAATGGTCTGTGGAAAAGGAATAGATTGGTTTTAGATAAGGGAGAAAAATGCATCATGATCACATATTCTCATTGAAAATGTTAGTTAAGAAAGCAAAGGATTTAGCACAAAAACTGCTTTTTGACGTTTCTGGATCCAAAAGCGGCATTCGATCCAATTCCTAGGCAACAGATTTTGACTTCTTTACAGGAGAAACAGTTAACATCCAATTTCATCAATATATCAGGATCCAAATGGAATGGAATGCCTAAAAGGAATGAAATCAAACTCATTTAGGTTTTATAAAGATGTTAAACAGGGTACATACACAGAGCACTCACTACTCCACTAGTACCATAACATCATTGGAACTAGTTTGTTCATAAACAACTCATCTCCATCTTTTACCATTCTATTGAATGTACCTTAATGAAGGAGGGTCAATCTAAATAGTGTGCTTTGAATTTTGTTGATAAAGTAAAATTAAAATGTTAATAAGTAGTAAAAATTAGCCATAAGCTATATTCTATTATAATATTTTTCATAAATAACTTACTTTAGTTTAGGAGTAAAAGTTGGAGACTTGACCATTTCATTATTTCCTCCAGTCATATTTAATTGAGTCAAAGAAAGGTTATTATTTTCAACTAAAAGCATATAAGAAAAAACCTGAAAAAGAAATATTTCAGCTATAAAAAGAAAAACGTTATCTATCAGTTTTGTAGTTTCTTTATTATAATATGATCAAAAGCATGAACTATGATTCAAATACAGTGTAAACAAATATATGAGAAAAATGAGATTTGCAAATATCAATCTGATTATGTTTTATTTAATTTACTTTTTAAAAATAAAAAAATATAATAATTCACACTCGTCACTTGTTTCCAGTTATTGTAGAAGCAGTACTGACATAATCTTTATCTTAACTATATAAATTTGCCACTCAAGAATACCTGAATTAATAGAAATATTTTTAAGTAATACTGGTTTGACAAAAATTAAATGAACTAATCAAGCAATTAGAGGGATACATATAACGCTATTTAGTGTATAACAATAACAATATTAATTGTAAATATAATTTCTTAGAAAATGAGAAATACTAATTTGTGGATACCTTGTTTTCTTTAAGTTCAAGAGTACCAGTCCAAGAACCTGCACAGGATGTTGATATGGTAACACTCACGGGCTCAGAGGATATTTCATTTAAGTCAAGGAAGCCTAATGCTGGCAACTGTGGGGCATTTTGAATTCCATTTATAACAGCAGGGCAGTTTAATGAGTTGTAAAGAACAAGTTCTGACTGTCCACTCCCTGGTAATGAAGGGTTCTCTTGCTAGAAAACCAAAAGATTAAATGAAATATATGTGAGTTTTGTTTAATGATTGATGTTTCATTCATGATGTAAAGCTTATAAACTTTTTGCAAACTTCATTACCTGGATGCGAAGCTCAAGAGCTCCAGATAGAAGAAAAGCAAGAGCTGCAAGAAAACCTCCAACTACCAGTTTCTGAAGGGATGTCCTCACTAATCGTAATTTTGCTAATATTGGATAAATTACACTTTCAAAAAGAGGAATGAAAATAAGTACTAGTACAGAATTAAGGGTTTGCATTTGGTCTGGTTGAATGGTGAACCAGCCCAAATCTCCATTCATCCGACTGGCTTGGAATGTCCATTTGGAACCCTGAAAATGATTAAACTATTTAATAATGGATAAAAATAAATATATCATTATTATACTGAAATATAGCTAAATCTTGTGAGCTTAATATTTATTAAAAGTCATGCTCAGATTACTTGCCGAATAGAAGAAAAACGCCAGCCTCATTTCGGTTATTGTACTATCAAAGATTTGGTTATGGAGATGGTATTACAAGAATTTAGTACAGAAAGAATTTGCAGATGTCATTTGGTTCAAATAATGTTAGCAAAGCTTAGTACAAAATGTTATTAACTTCCAAATAATAGAAAAATATAAAGTATTTGTGAAAAAAATCAGATTTTTTCTCATAACTTCAAAGTACAAAGCAGGAAACTCTGAAATTTGGACGTTTTTAGCTTCAGCAATTGTTAGTTTGGAAGTTACAAATAAAACTCACAATCTTGAAATTTCAAATCTCGATATCTTTTGAATGAAAGTGTTCAACCTTTACTACAGCAAAATAAAAATAAAACTATAACATAATCATAGAAAAAAAATAAACAGATAATAAAAATCGGAAATATATGCAGAAAACATTAATCCAATCTAAGTTTATTAGTAATTAAATCTAAGGTTTGTAATTTCCCCTGAAGATTAGAATAGTGGGATAGTAGAGAATTTCAAAGGAGGCTAAAGATCAAAACATAAATGGATGAAGTTAATGATTGGGTTAAACGAATGAAGATGGGTAACGTATTCCAAAAGAAGGTAATGTAAATGATAAATAACTTTTTAAAGAATGCAGTTCAATGAGAAGGAAAGTCCAACTTCATGGATTGGGATCTCCTGTTCAAAGATTGAGCACAGGAGTGTGGGGTAAATAGATGAGAATGTAAGGGTGCTTTTTGATTCTAAAGGATTGGAAAAAAGAGACACCTAGAAAGTATTGCGGTTGGAAAATATGATAAAATCTTCTTCGTGTCTGAAAATTCTTCAGTCTCATCCCAAGCCTAAAAGACAGTCCACCTTACTCAGGGCAGCCAAATTGAAAGTGGGGAGCAAATAAGGTAAGAGACTAGAAGCTGACAGGTTTTAAGAAGTATAGAATCATACTGTTTACTACTAGATTTTTGGCTAATTTGGGAGATATGATAATTCCTAGATATGTTAAAAAATTACCCCAAGGTTTCTGACAGATGTGGCTAACAGATTAAGTGGATGAGTAAATGATTGAGGTAGAGTAAGGGATAATAAGAAAGGGAGCTAAAAAGATAAGTGGAACCAATGAAGGTAGCCTTAGTTTTTTCAATATCCAGTATCAAACAATAGTAAACTGTTGATGCATTGATACTAACTATATCTTCTTGTAACTTTCAGATTACCTTCAGCATCACTATAAGATAAAAGAATTGGTAAATTCGGGGTCATCAGCATATATGTTGTATTGCGAATGGTGAATGGAATTAGGAAGATTGTTAATATTCACAAAGAAAAGAGCATACTACTTAAATTCATTCCAAAAAAGATCATAGCACTCATTGGTCTGTCAAACGCCTAAAAACTAGCTCCACATTATCTGCCAAGTGATAAAATTTAGGATTTAAGTCTTTAAATTTTTTCTAATTACGTAGCTTAATAAATCGTCCACATGTCTGAGCCATAAATAATTTTACAACCAGAACAGGTTATTAAAGATGAACAATAACATCATTAAATATTAATATTAATCATGTTTTAACACTATCCTTTCTGTAATAATTAAATGTAGTTTACTTAGGTAGCATATGTTATACAATAAAGTACATTATAGAGCATACCTGTTGATCAAACAGTGCCCAAAATACGATGGTTGGAGTGAATAAATAGATTATTTTCAGAAGAACTTTAATATCTGCTATCAACTTTGAGCTATATTTATCTTCTGCATAGTCTAACCAATGTTCTTTCTTTTCTTTTGAACTAATTTTTTTGGAAACTGCACGCTAAAAATAAAGATTTTATTTATTAATAACACATTAGCTATATATTATACTAAAACATTTTGGAATCATCCAACACACAATTTTCATTATAAATTAATTATTTTAAGTTGACAAATATTAAGTATATTATTATAATATTTAAAACAATTAATATAAATTATAAAAATTCTGGGCACTGTATGTTTTTGGTTCATGAAGTATGAAAAAAAAACAACAGGAATATAGTTTTCCATATATTTACTAGGAAAATTCAAATTGGTTATGGAAATGTTTGGAAAAAAAAATTAATAAAATTTCAATGATAATTTATATACCTCAAAGAATCCATGTAAAAAAAACGCACTCTTAAAAAAGGTGATATCAAACAGATTAACCCATTAGGAAAGGAGGCTTTGCATTTAGGAGTATTTACAAAACAACAAGGATGTCATCCTCAATATTTCACTCCTTATTTAGAAAGAAACACATTCATACTTAAGAATGATGATGGTTAATGATTTTGTCCAGAGAAATATATCCTTTAGGCTTATCAGAGTTAAGTTTTAACACTAATTATTCACTATATATGAAATATTTAAACAAATTTATATTAAAACTTTATACAAAATTTATATTCAGAACAAACTTAAACACACTGACACACTGAAAGTATTTTTATAAAATATTTCACTAACAAAACTTGAATATTAAAAACAAATATGTGAAGAACAATAATAAAGTATTTAAAACAAAATTAGTTGGCCCATGCGAATAATTGGTAAAGTATTTTGGTCAGTTAACAATTGACAATATAATATGGAAATAAGTAACTGGAATGTATTATGAGATAGAGGAAATAATTTCCTTTTTCTCAGTTGAATCACATTAGTTCATTCATAATAATAAACCGAAACATGTGGACTTTACTATATGCTATATCTTTGCCTATAATAGTTTGATTCTGATAATGTTTTTTTTGTTTTGTAGGGAATTTATAAATCTTTAAAATAATTATGGATGCAATCAACAAACAACGTATACTTATTTAGTTATTCGCAAATAAAGTTCCTTTTCCTTCATAACGAGAAATAAGTGTTAAATAAAAATGGATTGTACAACTATTAGTTATTTAACTGTTATTTTAAATTGCAAAGTTTACTAAAATGTAATGAAATTTGTATTCCCTGTCAGTTTTTAGAAATTATTATTTATATTTTTTTCCCAACTATTTATATTTTTACCTTCTACAACTTTCTACATTAGATATTGTTTTCTCTTTTAATTCTCCGCTTTCCAACGATATATTATATGTATACCTTCTGACTAGTATATCCGGAGATTCATTCCCAACCTGGATAAGCATTTCAATTTTTTCTCTTTTGTTCAATTATAAAATTCTTTCAAAAGTTATATTTAAAATTTTTTCATAACTTTTAATAATGAGAGATAGTTGATTATTTAAAATAAACCATATTAAAGGTACATTAGAGGAAGACGCATATGAACATTGGGCATTTAAGTCCTGTAAAGTGACATCAACGGGAATAAGACCTAAATGATATTCAAGGCCACTTAATTATACAACAATAAACCGAGTTTAATCAAAATCATTAAAGCCGTTTTTGAGAAAATTGTATAAATGTGTTTCAGTATTGATATAAAGTGGCACTTCTGGTTAGCCGATTTTAAGGAAAACCTTACCAGGACATCTAAGGCATATATCCATCTAAAATATGTAATATCAGTTTCGTACGACTTTTCGATTTTGAGCTAAAGTGTTCACATACACACAAACACACAGACCATTTTTCAGGACTTGGTTATTTGGACTTAAGGTACCTCAAAACCTGTATTTCCGTTGAAAACTTAGATTAAAAAATTTTCACTATCACAATACATACACTTACTACATATTACATATATAGGTAAGTAAAAGTATAAATAGTGGCTGAAAAATTAAAATATTTTGCACAATTAAAAAATAATATTATAATATTTTTATAATTATAATATTAATTACATAATATCTTTTTTTTCATCATATTTACCATATAGTAAATATCATAATTGTCAGAAAAAAAAATAAACATTGTACTTACACTAATACAACCACTAACTTGGAGAGCAATGTTTCCTTGTGGGCTATTTCTTTTGTACATGGGACTCCCCATAACAAATATAACTGAAACATAATATTAATTGTAATAATGTAATTATATTACCTATATAATAGATTATGCTGTATACAGGATTATATAATATACTGTAAAAAATAATAAAATAAATATTTTCATATTATATTATACGAAATGAAATGTAAATATATTACAAGTTGCTGACTTACTTTACATGCAATTTTTTTATTCTTTGTAGTTCATACTACGTAACAAACCACTAAAGATATTGAAAAATAATCAATCATAATCACTAAAACAATATGTATATATTAACACATTGTGGTCGGGACAAGTAATGTTTGTCACTTTGATTTGAGTGTAGTTCATGTAGTAATACATTTTTTATAGATTAGGAGTAAATAAAGCTATCTGGGTCACTAATGTTTGTTTTCATCCTTTCTCATGCATATTTTTATGAAGCACAAGCATATAAATAACAATAAATTTGATAGATTGTTGTTAAGATCTAAATAATAACGATATATATCATTAAATTCTGCTCCAACCATAATGCATTGGCACTATATATCTGAACACAATGTGTTCAAGATTTTTATTTTTATTATTATTTTAAATGAATAAATGTCATATTTACCAAGAGATGCTATCATCAATGCTGCAGGCAAACCAAAAGCTAATGGGTAACAATCTTCATTGCTGCCAAGGCAGTGGTACTCACGAAGCATTGGAGTTAAGAAGGAGGAAAGAACACTTCCCGCATTGATAGAAAAATAAAAGACAGAAAAGAAACGCTGCAGTTGTCTTTCTTGCTGTGGTAGAACAAATTGGTCCCCTCCAAAAGAAGAAACACATGGCTTAATTCCACCAGTTCCTACTGCAATTAACAACAGTCCAAGGAGTGAAAGTTCTCTGAAAATACACATTTAGGATAAAATTTTTGACAGAAAATTTTGAGTATCCTAGTAGGATGAAAATAAAGATAAACTTGTTGATATTGTAATGAGTGGATTGAAGGCAAAGAAAGTATTGTGAGCAATGCATAAATTTGGATAAGTGAGTAATGGAAGCACAAAATTGAATAGGTGAGTAAGAATCCATAGGAGCATTTAATGTGTCAATTAATAAAGAAGAGGTTTGCTGGGAACAATAACTGAACTAGATTAGCTATAAAACTAGTTCCAAAACCAATTTAAAGTACTACTCAAGAGAAAGAGGTTGCAGAATTCAAAGAAAAAGTTAATGATCAATAAAACCAGTGGCTTCAAGAAATCTTAATCAATATAGTGAATTGCTAAATCATATTTTTAATAATGATAAACTGAAACATTAACTACAACTAGAACTGAACAACTATGTATGGTGTTAATAATAATTTATACAATATAACTCATACCTATGAGGAATGCTGAGAGCTTCAACAGATCCAAAAGAAAGTACAATGTTTCCAGTAGCATAAATTAAAGAGACATAAAGTATGGTGCTGCAAAATAAAAATTAATTGATTAAAATCTTGTTAATTATTCTAAGCCTCAGGATAATCAAATCTATTTTTTATTTCATTGTCTACCTTAATCTTCAGTTGTCTCCACGAACTCTAATCATTCATTATTTAAGTGATAGCTATTTTAATGTTTATAAATAGATTATGAAAATCTTACTTGTATTTTCCTAGCCATGCATCAGCCATAATTCCACCAAAGATAGGGGTAAAGTAACACAGCATCACAAACATATGATAGATTATTGTTGCATTATTTTCACTGTATTGAAGAGAATCCTTTAGATATAATGCTAGTACCCCTGTAAATAACATTTTGCATACAAAATAAATGTTTATATTACAATTTTTTTTGGAAAGAGATTAATAAAAATCCAAAGTTCAGTTTTAACTAATGTTGTGTCTAAAGATTCTTGTATTGAGACTCAATGTTACTAGAGTTAGATCAATTTAAATAAAAAGGCATTAACTTCCAATGGATATTTTTATTATTCTCGTCAACGACCAGTATGGGTCATTACACCTATTTCAGGTTTATTTGTGATAGTCGCCTCTCTTGCTTATCTTTTGACAAAAGTGCCTCAATCATATATTGATATATATATATATATATATATATATATATATATATATATATATATATATATAACATATATATCAATACATACATATATATCATATATAACTCTCAATTGATAAGAAAAAGAGAAGAACTATTGCAAATAATCCTGAGGAAGATCCATGTTTGAAACCGGTCTCTGAAGAGAATAACAAAAATATATACAGGAAGTCAACATATTTTTACTTAAACTAAATTAAATAAATTAAGAAAGAGTTTTTGAATAATTCAAGTGTTTATTTTATTAATCTAAGATAATATATGGCAAATTATGCTCATATTTAGCCTTCAATGAGCAAGATGCTCTGTAGCACAGAAAGATAATTTAGATTGATTCTAGTCATATTCTTTATACAAGAAGAACGAGCTTAATGAATATTAACTAATTATGTCACTTAATAGACAGGGCACAATTATAAAATAAGTAAATTTCATTGTTTGAATATGATGCTAACATTAAATTGATTATTAATATAAATATCAATATAATTTATGGTGTTAGTAGGACATCATTTTTATAATTACTCAAACTGAAAGAACTTAGACCTCCTAATTATTACTTGAAATGTTTTAGCTTAAAAATGTAGAAACATGAAAGTATGATAAACTAATTAAAAAAAAAAAAGCTTGAAAAAGTGCTAAACAAAAAACATTTGGCACGATTTCCTCATAATCTTTATTTAGTTGTAGTTTATTAGATCTTTTTAAGAAGGTTGAATTACTCTATACATTACTAAGCTAAACAGAGGGAGGAGTTCAGGATTGATTATAGAGGATAAGATACCAAACAAAGGTCAATCCTACCAGGCTATATAAAACCAGCATTGTTTCTGATACTAGTATGTTAATGAGCTATGTCAAAAAGAAATATCACCACTGTTTCAGAATCACCTTTTCAAACTCTCCTTCTAATTTTGATTTGAAAATTTGAAAAATGATAAAAATGCTAAAAGTCGATACTGTGCCCATTCTTCAAGAAGGGGGATATACTTGACTGTAAAAACTATTGAGGTTTATCGCTATAAAATATAGTATAAAATACTTTCAAAAACTGTGTGCCACTTCTACACATGCCTCTTCTGTCATATGTGGAGAATTTTCTGGAAAATATCAAAGTAGATTTTGGAACGGTAAAGCAACAGTTGCTCAGATCTTTTCACTTCTTATTATCCTGGAAAGAAGCAGAGGATACTGCATTCCTAGGCATTACCTGTTTGTTGACTTTAAGGCTGCTTATGACAGTGTATTATATGAACCCCTTTATCAAGCTATGAGAAACTGATTTGATTGGTTAAATTGACCGAATGGCAGAATTAATGTATGTGTAAGTACAAGACAAAATGTTAGAGATTTGCAACAAATGACTGTGAGACAGGAAGTTGCACTGGCATCTGCCCTTCAACATTGATTGTAGAAAGTTGTACAGGATGTACAGATTCAGACAACCGACTATCTATCTATCTCCATAGTGCTGCAACCCTGAGTGGGCCTTGGTCTTCCAGTTAATGGTGCTAGACACCAGGCATGGTGTTTAATAGAACACCAAGGTTCAAATACTTGGTTATGAGGATGATCTAGATATTATTGGAAGATCCCAAGTAGCAATACATGAGGCTATCCTAGCTCTGAAACCAACAATCAGACGACTGAGACCATGTGTTAATGTAACCAAAATTAAGTACATGACCTCTGAGTTTGGAACCTTGGAAGATACTATTGCTAACCAACGTTACTTTGGGCTAGGAAGACATATAAGAAGCAAATATATGTCAAGGAAAACAAAAAATATTGCCATGTAAGATGTTTCTGACATACAGCTCTGAGGGGTGGTATCTCCAAAAAAGTAATGACAGAGTCCATTCATTGCACCAGAAGTAGAGTGAGATGTCTTAGATAGATGGATGGAGTAACAGACAATCCCCAAAGGAAACTATGGGTAAGGCATTGGAAAAATGATGCCCAACATTGTGCAAACTGGTAGAAGTTATCAGAGGAGTGACCAGTGATGGTCTGATAGTGACCAGTGACCGTCCATGGACCAGTTGAGCCAATGGAAGAAGAAGAAAATTCTAATTACTAGTTTAAATGTTAAATATGTAATTTTATAATATACTTAATCTTACACACAATCATAAAAGTACATGATATTTCTAATATATATATTTTCTAAATTTTATAACTTATTTTAGATTATTAAAATTTATAAGTTAAGTTGATAAACTAAATTACCTCGCATGCCATAATAACAAAATCGTTCACAAAACTCATTAATAATGATGAAAAATACAGATTTTGGGTACTTCATTTTCTGGAAAAAAAGAAAATGCAGAAGTTAAATAATGTTAAATAAAAAATCATGGTAATATGTTTGTATGTATGCATATATATATATATATATATATATATATATATATATATATATATATATATATATATATATATATATATATATATATTTATTTAATGTCATGACATTTCCCAAATAGTCTAGGTACCTCATTTGTCAGAAATAAATAAGGTAAGTAAGATCTTTCTTAAACTAAAGTAAGATTTCTTATTTCTTTGTTTGATGTAATCTCTGCCCGCATTCACTAACCAACTTCAACAAAATAATTAATGTGTGCTAGATCATATAACATTGCTATTGACACAGTTGGCTGTGATCGTAGGTCTAGTGAGAGGATAGCTTGGTTTGTTGGTGATCATATTGTTTAAATACACAATATTCATGAGAATGCTGATATTCTGGCTATACAGCTAGGATGCACCCACTGCTTAATTCATTAAATCAAGGCCATTAACACCTGTGTCACAGCAGCAGACTTCTAAATATAGAAGAAACATGTCGCAAGCAGGAGTTGGTCCTACATCAATATTTTCTATCAAAAACAACGGAGATTTATCTCACTATCCCTAATTTGGAATACAGATCAAACTGCACTTAATTTGAACAGAGACGATGATTTCACAGTTTTATCAGAAAATGAAAGGCTGTCTAAATGGACATATAGCACGGTACTATATGGTAGATTCTACAACCAATTGAATTAAAACTCGATAGATGAAGAAAGATCAGTGGAGTAGTTGACAGCTGGAAGGCTCAGAGACAGAAGGCTTTTTAGTTGCCACTCTAGATCAGGTTATTGCCAATAGGACATACAGAAGACATATGCTGAAAGGAACAACAAAATTTGATAAATTTTAACTGTGCTCAATCCACCATATCGAATCAATCACAGCTGGATGTGGAGTGCTCACTGGTACGGAATATCTTCAGGGGCACAATAATATGGCATAAATATTCCACCATGCTCTAGGAAATGACAATTAACCTATCGGGTGAAAAGGTGCCATATCAAAAATATAATCCCAAAAGGCTGCTTCAGAAAGATTCCCTCAAGAAGTATTGGGGCCATATGATGGAGTACATAGTGCCTCACAATAGACTTGATATCTTCATTATAGATTTTAGAAAGCCAATCTTATTGATGTCGCGATTCCAAATGACAATAATATAAGCACAACAGTGCATGAGAAATTCAGAAAATATCAGGAATTGGTGATTAAAATAAAAGAATTGTACCATTTGGAAAGCGAAATGGTAACACCAATTATAATATCGACAAATGGCCTGATTCCAAAGACAACAGGGATAGATACGGGTGGCTTGGAGTTGACCCTTGGTGTGATAAGAGAGGCTCAGCAAGCAGTTCTTGGGCACAGCCAGAAAGTTGGAAATATTTTAAATATTTGAAAAGAAATGTATATCTGTAGATGGTTGGACCCTTCCTCCATCTTCAGGTTTGAATCTGCAAATGCGAGAATAATAATGATAATACAAATCTATGCGAGTTTTAAAGGAGATCTTTTGCTGCAGCTAGTCACAAAAATAATTTATTAATTAAATGTTAGCAGTAAATAATATTATTACCTTAGCAGATTTTTTGTCCATATCATTGGTCCCATTTTCTCCCACCATTTCAGGGCCACCACCTGTAACATAAAAAAGAAAAATGGTTTTATTTACTTAATTACATTAAGATGCATACGTGAATATTAGTGTGCACTATAAAAGGACTGGTAGAAACAGTGATTTATTAAAATCTCAGCTTCAATGAAGAGGAAAAAATATTTTTAATATTTACTTTTAAAATGTTGGTAAGATAAGAAGTATATATGAATGATACAGATATATTAAAAATACACATAAAGTACTTATTCATTCAGAAAAAAAGTGGAAATATTTGAATATTTCACTTATCTATTTATGAAATGTATACTAAAGGAAAGCGTTGTGCAAAAATTTCGAATCCAAATTTTTTTACAGAGATATATATTTTAAGGTTCTCTCAATTCAAATAACCGAGACTCACAAAATAGTCGGTAATATAGACTATATGGTAATTTATGTGAACAGCATAGATAAAAAACAAAAAGACTTACAACACTGAAATTATGTACTAACTGTAGTTATAAACCTGGGATGATACAGCAACCTTATCCGTTAAATTCACTTGATATTGAAAAACTCTGTAGTATTGATTTAAAATAAAATGATCAATTATAAAAGTTAAGTCTAATTCTAAATGAAGTAGTTTAACAGACTCCTATTGGTTATTCTTCCAACCAAAAAAAGAAATAGTCTAAATTATCTTTAATTTTGATTATCATAAATAATTAAAGGTCTCTCATTGCCACTAGTAATGCCAAATGAATTAATAAGAACCATGAAAGGGTTTGATAATATACTTAAGGAGGAAATGGGAAAAATAATTTCATTAGTTGAAAACTGATATTTGGAAATAAGAGTATTAATATAAATATGTTCTAATATACCGTTGGAAAGCTAGAGATATTAGAAAATTTAACACCTAACATACCATCAGTTTATTGCAAAATGTCATTAAATGTTATTTATCAACCTCAAATAATTAAGATCTTTGATGAATTGTATCTATGTGAAATCAGAAAATTTTGTATTTTGTGTAACTATCTATGATAAATAAAAGGGTGTATATCATTTTCATGAACTTTACGATGTTTTTGCATAAATGAATAGGGTTGAAATTCCCAAAAACATACTTGAAAGTAAACTTGTGTCAAAAATTCACTTACTAACTTTTTGCAATAAACCAACGGTATATATAAAGTCATAGAAAGTAATGGTCAGTGGCAAAATACTAATGATTTTTAAGTGCTGTCATATATAATGACTACTTTTATTATTCTTGAATGGGAAATAAGGGATCAAGGAGTTGGGTATAGGTAGCACCTTTGCTACGGTTGACCAAGACATTAGTCCTCTCCCAAAACCAGAGGAACAAACCGGGAGCTCTGGTAGCCTTGGTGGAGATTTGTACGAACCTAGTTCCCAAGACCGTCCGTGCTTGGTGAAGAACCAAATCCTACTTGAGGTGAGCCTGCTTTCAACAAAACATGGCGGATCTAGACAAGGAGGTCAATAATTATACCTGATATGAGGCAGCAGGAGCGTGAAAAATGTTTTCAGCCATTGTTGGTTCCTTCATTGTTAGTAAATTACATTTTGAATTTTTTATTAAAATTAATATTTTCACTGGATATTGAAAGAATTACATCTGAAATTCAGCATGGAATAAAAGTGTTCTTACAAAGCTGACTGTAAAAATTTAATTATGAAACTAGGGGAAAATAGAGAAGCAGATTATTTATTTTATTTTTTTTAAATATATCAAAATAACATAATATTATAAATTGAAGTCATTGACTATGCTATATAAGAAATATCAAAAATGTTTTGACATAAACATAATAAAAATAGTAAATAACTAAAATAAAATTTAAGTAACATTACTTAATACAGATACATATCTGAATGAGTTGATACATTTTTCTCTTTCCAGAAAAATAAAAATTTATATTTTTTTCAATATCATTTGATGTAGATGAATTACGTAATCAACTTTTGAGTATTTTTGGAAGAAAATTTCTCAAGTTTATTAAAAATAATTTATTTATTACCACATTATTTATTTTTTAGGTTTTAAACCGACCTTAAAGACGAATTCTTGTAGGAGAATTTCCTAATGGAATAGCAATGAGTGGCATTTTACATATTAAATGTATTTTTAGAAGTTTCATTAAAAAACATACATATCACCATTCTGTCAATTTAACATAAATTTAAAAAATAGCCACATTGGGTGTATAAGGTATAGTTGGTTGTCAACTATTGCATAAATATTATATAGTTTCTTATTAATTTCATAAAAAAATACTGTAGAATTCAGAAGACCAGAACAGGTGTTGATAACAAGATTATAAAATAATGATGACAGGTATGTTACCTTAGTCACAATATTACTAGACACTGACTCAATGCCATGTTTTTTTGGTTGATAGGTAACATGGCTATCGTTTTTGCTAAAACACCTATAATTGGAAATAACATGCATTACAAAAACAGCATGATAGGAAGGAGGAAGAGGATTACTCTATTTCACATTCATTGTTCCTTATATATCCAACATTATTCAAGGAGGTTTATCATCCAGCTCCTTTTCAGATTTTTAATGATAAGAAAATAAAATTAAACGTTTGTACTTAATCGATTTCTCATTGAGATTGAAGATAAATTATTGATATGTTAATACAAAACTGATATGATGACCCAAGTGACATGTTTTTCACGACTGCATATGTTTCTGCACCTACCTTCTGCAACTTATTGCCAAATTACAGCAATAATTATGAAAACAGTTTAAAAAAAGTGCGATCGTGAAAATTTTCGGGTCTGACTTGTCAACGGAAACTTGAGGTACGTTTTGGGTCCAAATAACCAAATCCCGATAAATGGTCTGTGTGTCTGTGAGTCTGTGTGTATGTGAACACTCAAGCTCAAAAACGTACGAAATAGTAGTACGGAACTGATATTACGTATTTAAGATAGGTATATGACTTAGATGTCCTAGCAACTTTTCCTTAAGATCGGCTAACCGGAAGTGGCACTTGTTGATGTCACTTTAGAGGGCTTAAATACCCAATGTTCATATGCATCTTCCTCAAAAGTACCTTTAATTTCGTTCATATCAAATAATTAACTATCTCTCGTTACTAAAAGTTACAAAAAAATGCTAAATATAACTTCTGAAAGAATTTGATAATTGAATAAAGGAGAAATAATAAAAATCCTAATCCAGGTCGAAAATAAATTTCCGGAAATACTAGTCAGATTACGTATAATATATCGTTGGAAAGCGGAGAATTTTAGAAAAAAAACATCTAATATAGAAAGTTGTAGAAGGTAACGGAGAGGGCGAAAAAATTATAAATTTTTGTCTATTACTAGTATTAGGAAGATGTTATGTGATATTGTTAGGAAAGAGAAATCTGTATTGATTAGTGATTTAATATTTCGTATTGATGTTTATTTCGGGCAAAGATCGGCATAAATCTTAATCAACAATTACGGTTACGATTATTTGAAAAAAAGAACAAGATTTCTTGATTGTACGATCACAGCCATGATTTTGATTATAACCCAGTAATGGTGATTATCTACACTATACATAATACATTTGTATATATGTATCCCTTTTCTGGCTCTCAGGAGAGATGGAGTACGATGAATGAGGTATCAAACTTCAAAAATCAAAAATGTAGGGTAATTTCATAGAGAAATGACGAACACTAATTTAAAAAAATTTAAATCTTACTACGATTACAATTAATATAATTGAAAATATCTGATGCGGTGCGCGCATTACACAACTTTCGGTTACCACTCCCTTCTTAGCAGAAATAAGTATTTTCATACAAAGGGGGAAGTAAAAGTTAAAATTATAGACGCTATATTTATTTATATTTCATTGTAGCTACTCTTATTTTTTTTTATATAGTACCCCTATATATACACATTTTGATTTTTATATCGCTGTAATCTATACAATTAAATATTAAATAATACCAATGATGATATTTATGAAAACTGCATATGTATATGTACATAATATTGTCAAAGTCCGCATTATATTAAGCTCATATTACGCATGGAAGACTGTTGTAATCTTTCGGACGAGCTTGGGAACGCTCGTATTCCTTTGATTCCTCCGTTACAACTATTCTTCGTTACGATCTCTTATTTCTCCTATAGTTAATTATAAAATTCTTTTATATTTTATATGTAAGTATTTTTTATATTTGAGGTCAATACGAAACAGTTAATTACTTCAAATAAAAACAATTAATGGTACTTTAGAGGAAGCTAATATTGGAAAACAGCCATTTAAGCCCTGTTAGTGAACATAAATGAGAATAAAACCTACATAATATTAAAAACTGCTTAATTTCACACTGATATAATGAATTCAATCAAAATCGTTGGAGCTGTTTTAGAGAAAATCGTAAAAATGTTTTAAATCGATTATATAAAGTACGGTAGGTCGATTTTGACGAAAAAGTTGCTGTAACATATCAGGCATATAAAAACCTTAAATATGCAATTTCACTTTCAAACGACTTTTCATTTTTGAGCTGGAATGTTAACACATAAACACACACACACACCATTTTTTGAGACAGTTATTTGGACTCAGAGAACCTCAAAACGTGTATTTCCTTTGAAAACTGAGATTCGAAAATTTTGACGATTGTAATACTTTCCTTTAGTATATATTTCACATACAGACAAGTGAAAGTAAAAAGTAGGAGGTTTAAATAAAAATGGATTCAAAAGTCGACAGATCGAGAAACGGGGTGAATTGATTTTTTAAATAGTTTGATTATGATATCGTTACGCTCTCAAGTTCTAAAGAACTACAGTCCTGCGTTTTAAAGCGCTAAAATGTGTTGTTTTTGAGATAACACATGGGCTCAACCTTATTCTAGTGTATCTGAAACTTAGTGCAACGGTTGTCGTGGATTCCTAATAAGATAAAAGATAAATTATTTTTAGTATATTATTTTTCAGAGGCTTTTTTTATGATAAAAATAATCTTTGTTAATTACTCATTGCA